AGTCTTTGGTAGCATCGAAGTCTTCCGACAGCACCTTGGCTTCCCAGACAAGCGGGCTGACCTGACTTGGAAAATGTGGTTGGAGCGCCTCTGCTGACTTGGCCCTCAATGCTTTCGAGGACCGCATAGCACTCTAATATCGGAATAAATATGTGACGTGTTATACGAAACAGAACCTTTCATTCAAGTTTTTACTCGCCCCTGACTGAACAGGATGTGATCTTCACGCCGAAATATGACGAGAGCTTGAGGAATGGGTGCCGGGCTGGCAAGGTGCCCACAGATCTTTTGTCGATGGACACGGCCTTGGCGGCTCTGTTTGCTGAGGTCAAAACAAAATTGAGCCAAGACATCTTAGACAGCAGACCAGACCAAGGCAACGAGGAATCTGCGCCAGCTCCGGCGCCAGCAGAGTCATCGAGCCCGAGTTGCAGTGAAGCCCTAACACAATTTATGGAGACCGTGAGGGCACGTTGCGGTGAGAACACCAACCAGGAGACTTGTGAACTTCACCAGGCAGACTTGTGAACTCGCCAGCTCCTGCATTCAAACGGTCCAATGCCTCTTGCTTTGAGCGCGCAGCTGACCCCAGGGGCGCGTCTTCCTGGCCAGCTCCAAAACCAGCTGCTGCTCAAAAAAAGCCAGCTGCTCGATGCCAGAAACCAATTCCTGTCCAGAAGAAGCCTGCAAAGCAAGCGCTGCCGTCTAAGAAAGCAAATGGTCAGCCGAAGACAAAGGACGCCAAGTGAAGTTTCAATGAAGAGCGCTCGGACGCCTGCAGATGAAAAATAAATGGGTCTGATATCCGGAATTCCAAGTTCAAGAGAGCAACCCTAACCCTCACACAGTGGGGATGCAGTGTAATACCAAGACACTCACTCTCACTGTGGAAGTCACTCTCACTGTGGAAGGGTTCTAAGTTTTCCTGTTCTTAACACATCCCTCACCCACAAGGACAATTAGCACAGAGAGCCTTGCTAAAGTCAACCCAGGAAATGCAGACGAGAGTGCGATGTGCCGGGTGCCCGCGCAACCCTCCCTGGGCATCAGATATTGATCCTAGTCAATATTCTTGAAAAAATCAACAATTTCTATTGATTTGGGCGCGTGCTTTTTCAATAGAAATTCTTCCTCAAAGCCAAGCAAAAATCAATAGGAAATTCAATAAACAGCAACATGGTCAGCTTGATCAAATTTGATCAAAAACCAGCCAAATTTGATCAAATTTGATCAAAAACCAGCCAAATTTGATCAAATTTGATCAAAATTGATCAAATTTGATCAAATTTGCTTTTTCGAAGCTGCCCAGAAATCAATACCGGAATCAATATCAAAATCAATATGATTTTGAATATTTTTGGCAAATCAAAAATATTGATATTTTTTCGGTTTATTGATTAGGATCAATATCCGATGCTCAGGGCTCTGCGGAGATCGTGCGTGTCGAGCGCGCGAAATGCAGGCGAGAGTGCGATTTGCCGGCTGCCCGCGCAACCCTCTGCGGAGATCGTGCGTGTCGAGTGCGCGAAATGCAGGCGAGAGTGCGATTCGCCGGGTGCCCGCGCAA